AAAGAGAGTCTGTGGACACAGACAGAGACTTTAACACAAAATATAGTTAAAAAATAAAATAAAACAATCAGTAATTTACATAGATCATGTGATAGCATGCTATGCTAACGTGAGTATTTATAAGGCCTCAGAAAGGCAGGAACAGACCAGACTCCTGCTGGGATCTGTCTCTTTAAGTGTTTATTTTAGTATTTTTCCAGCATAATTACCACAAAAAGTTCCCGTTGTTTGCTGATTTTTCTGCTCCGTGCACATAAATCAACTTCAATTTAACACAATTCTCTTAACACTGGTGATTTTTCTCATGCCTGCAGTTAAAAGGAAAAACCAACGGGAGATTAAATAAATCATTTCTAATTTATGAGCTAATCATTGCGTTCCTGGTTGTGTTGAGGCTGCTGTGTGTGTTTCTGTGTGCTGTTTCACAGAATGAGTGATCACTAAACCAGAGCTTTACAGGGACAGTGGAGCTATAAAGACACAGAAAAAGACTCAAAGGATCACAGAAATCTCACTGATGCTTTAACCCTATAATACCAAATGTATCATATTTGATACGGTTTATGAAATGTTTTGCGTCTGACTCCTTTTGCATAATTTAATGGTAAAAACTTTGCTCTAAATCCTATTGAACACAATCAGATACACCTGATAACAGGGGGCAGAAGATACACAAAAAATAATCTGGACTTATCGCATAGTAATAAATTATTAATGTTAAAAATGTGTTTCTGTTTTTTCTTTTTACATATTTTGTTAAAAGGCCAAATAAAGACTTTAAACCAAAAAAAAGTTATTTTCTGTTTTGTTTTATTCTTGGATCAGACTTTAAAGCGTTAACACCAGTTCCACTTAAGGAAATCCATAGCAAAATGGATGGAGTTGTGTAGAATCATGAATAAAATATTTATCTATTTTCTTTAAAATGTTAAATGAATCTGTTCAAATAACTCAGGATTTCTGGTTTTCATCCTGGGCTGACAAATTCAGTGCACTTTATCCGGTGAGTTCGAGTGGAGTTTGATTAATTTGAGCTCTAATAATCCGTTGACCCTTTTCTGACAGCTAGTTTGCAGGTGAACTGATTCCTGCATGGTTAGTGTTAGTTAAAGGTGGGATAAGCTTTTTGATTGGCTTTTATAGCCTGTTTTTATATTTTGAGATGTATATCTTTATTTTTTACTACTTTATTCTGTCTTACGGGTGTTTTTTGCATTGGCTCATACAAATGGAAATAAAAGTTATTCTTTTTTGAACTGGTTGATGAAAAAAGTACTTCTTTCTTCCTTATTTAAACTGGTTGATTAAGTGTATCCGGTGTGATAAAGTCCTGTTTTCTGTGTTTACGTCGGGTATAGCTGGAGTTATTTGGAGGCGTTTGAAGGCTGGAAGTGTGCCGTTATAATCTGAGCGTGACAGTTGACTCTACCCTCCGTACCGGGAATCCTCTGGCTGCAAATGGTCAGAGCGGCGCTGACCATAAACTGTAATTTGGGCCTGCAGCCAGAGGCGTGCAGGCTAGAGTTACAGCTCATAATATCCCTCCACATATACAGCTCATAATATCCCTCCACATGTACAGCTCATACTATCCCTCCACATATACAGCTCATAATATCCCCCCACATATACAGCTCATAATATCCCTCCACATATACGTTATTGTCCTGACCCAGAGGGCTGGAACAGGAGACTTCCCTCCTAACCCTAAACCTAAACCAGGGGGCTCAAACTTTCAGCATGGGAGCTACTTTTGAAATGACCAAGTTAAAATGATCTACCCGTTATATATATATATTTTTTTTTATTATATATATATTTACTCAGAATGTATATCCATACAAAATCTACATCCAGGGTACACTATTATTCTTTTTCTTTTTCAACCCCCCCAAAAAAAAAAATATATATATATATAAGAAATACACCCACCCCGCCCACTCTCTCTATGTATCAACACACTTAATAACATTACATTTAGCACTATCCATATTTTTGAAAGGCCAGAATGAGTAGTAAAAGATACAACAAAAATATTAGAGGAATTAAACAAGTCAGATCTACCCGTTATATTTATTGAGAAATATATTGAGGATTCTTACAACTTATGTTGATGAATAACCACATATTGTGACGGTAGACGAGACAAACGCACTTTGAAAATGTCATCGTGAAAAAAAGTCCTCCCATTCCGTATGAAAGTGCTAAATGTTTTTCTTCTTACTTGGTCCAGCTCCCCCACTCATTTTCATAACCTATCTTACGTTTAAGAGGAGAAAAACGAGCGAAAAATGAGGATGTAGCTACCGACTAGCTTGTTAGCTTAGCTAATTGACCTAATTGTACAGAAAAAAATTAGATGTCATCTGACTGGTTTTCCTGTGGATCAATCAAGTGACGGACGGCTGATAGGCTGACGTCTAGTTTTTATTCAAAACAACTCCTTTTGAACCCTCTTTAGTCACTAAACCGATGTGTGACAGTGAATTTCTCCACTGTGAGATGAATAAAGCTCTTATCTTATCTTATCTTATCTTATCTTATCTTACCTTATCTTATCTTACCTTCTCTTATCTTATCTTATCTTATCTTCTCTCATCTTATCTTATCTTATCTTATCTTATCTTATCTTATCTTATCTTATCATATCTTATCTCATCTTATCTTATCTTATCTTATTTTATCTTATCTTATCTTATCTTATCTTATCTTATCTTATCTTATTTGTTTATGATCAGTTCATGACAATGTCTCCTCACCTTGTCATGGATCTACCGATATTACCTCGGAGATCGACTGGTAGATCGATGTATTGATCATTGATCCCTGCTCCACACATACCAGCCATAGTGGGTCTAACATGAACCCGTTATGTTCTGAGTGGAGATCATGTTCATAGCACACTTCCCACGTTCTGGCCCGCCCTACTTTCCTGTCCTACTTCCCTCCAGCCTGTGGAACCAAAAACAGGCTTTCTGTTTGCTAACCCCTTTCTCCAGAGCTGACCGCCAAAGACGTCTATAGAGGTCTTTTATGTTTTTAACCAGAGTGTCTGGGGGACGATCTGCTAAAGCTTGTCCGTAAATATGGGCTTCTAGACAGAGTATGTAGTAACAAATTGAGCCTCTAGGGGGCAGTGCCACTTTTGATGGGAGATGAGCATAGACTGTAGGCAAATAAGAAAAAGGGAACGGTTCTATGAGAGAACATGTCGCCGGTGAGACGCAAGTCCAGGAAGAACGGAATAAGGTAGAAACACATTTTTTTTCCTGATGAAAGAAGAGAGTCTACTCTTTCTTTTGGTGTGTTCGGTGTTTACATAGTCATAGCACAAACTATTCTGTGGCTCTAGAAAAATCAGTCAAAATGCTCAAAAAACTCTGGCAGTATGGGACTGTCCCGTCTGGGGGAGTTTCTGGTGTGTTGTCATGTCTTGATTACCTATTGTGTTCCCCTGGGGTTCCCCCCCCTCATGTGTTTGAATAGTCCTGTTTCCCATGTCCTGGGCCAGTTCGTCTTCCGTCTCCCCATGTCATGTAAGGTTTTGCTTTTTGCTCCATGCCATAGTCTTGTTTTTGTTCCATAGCCATGTTTTTTCACAGCCACGCCACAGCCGTGTTAACCTTATTGCTTTGATACTTTGTTCAGTTTTTTCCCAGCCTTGTTTACTGTTTTTCGTCATAGCCATGTTTTATCACAGTTTTGTTAATCTTGCTTTGTTACTTTGCTCATAGTTTTGCCACAGCCCTGTTTTTGAACCTGTTTTTTGTTACAATAAACCCTGATTTCTGCATCTCTGCGCCTGAGTCCTCCCTGCAAGACCCACCTTCTTGACGGGGACTCTGTTCTGA